CAAGTAGGCCATGATGCCCGTCGTCGCCGTGAGCGAGTGGAGGGCGAACTCACTGGTGACATAGGGGGCCAAAGCAGTAGCCATGCCCTGCTGCATGGCATCGACGAAGAAGATGAGCCAGATACTTAGCAAGTGGCAAGCGTTAGCAATGGGGTCGATGGCAGAGCAGAGCGAAGAGATAGACCTACGTTAGATATGCGATGACAAGATGCTTCTTGGTCCAGACTTTGGTCATGGCTTCGACTCGCTGCACGCCCTCCTGTGCCGTGGCCGAGATGGCGTCCGAATCGCTCTCATGTTGATGCTTGGTGCCGTCACCGTCTTGGCTGGAAGTGACATGGCCCTCGAGGACTCCGGCTTCCTTATCGATGGCCTTCTTCTCGTCTACATCGGCGACCACGACGGGCGCCGCGGGGGTCCGGTACTGAACGAAGGGGTTCTTCATGATGAAGAGTCAGGCGGGACGAGACTGTCAACCGGTCCGGGGAGTCAAGACGCTAGCTCGGGTCACTCCTGCAGCGGGAGCGAGATTGGGATGCGGGGCGGAAGGAAAGATTGGAAGACAGTCTGGGTAAATCCAACGTCACAAGAAAGAGTCGAAGGGCGGAAGGAGCTCAACTTTAAATAAGGGTAGCTTCCGGCAGTGTGGTAGTCGAATTCTGGTCACCGACAGCACGCGGAGTGGGGTCCCCGTAAGGGATTAGCTTTATGCAATGGATGTGCCTGCCAGCGAGGGAAGGAACGCTGCCCGTGGCAATCGGAATCCCACCGCCTTGGCCGACGTCCTGCCCCAAACGAGAAGGCGCAACCCGGCGAATCGCCAGCGAGCTGCACCTTCCGACATGCTGTCCCACATCATAGCGGGGAGCTCCTGGCAGGGATGCAGCCCTCCAAGCGGAGCACTTGGCTCGAGAGCCCACAAGCTTTTCTACGCTCCTGGGCCGAGACTAGCCTTTGGCTGGCGAATGAAGAAGGGCTGTGCGCTCGCACGATCAATTGGCGTTTTTTTCTCGACATTCATAGATGCGAGCCAGCTTGATGTTGCTTGACCATTGTTACAAACCGGTAGATGGACGCCAAGTATAGTAAGTCGGCAGAGACTGCTCGCGGTCAAGCCGACAGACACCCCGGCATTCCCTCACTCAACCGACCAACCAAGGCTCTTGGCGACCCGCCACTGACGAAACGTTACAGGGATCACGTCCGGGTCATTGGCGTGAAAATTTTTATCAGATCATCTTATCAATCCATCTGATAATAATTATGAAAGAGCTCGCCGATCCCCCCACCTGCCGTGTAGTTCGGCTACGACACTGCGATATCGGCGGCCGTCCCTCTGCGTCTCCTCTGCTAACCCGGAATTCGCCAGACGCAGAACCGCCTGCACCCCGTCTGCTTGCCCGTCTTGGGCTCTTCAATTTCAGGGACCGAGCCATCAAGCGGCAAGCCAACAGGGCCCCGCAACTGCCAAACACTGCCGAACCCGCCGGCGCGGTTGATGTCCTGTCGGGTTACAATTTGGCTCTCGGTTATCGTGCAATCCCCACAATAGCCAAGCTGCAAGATAGTAGGTGATCTATTACTCTTCGAAGAGGACGGGCTAAATGAACGCAGATGTAGGAATAACCGATCAATCAGAGTTACGGAGGCTGAGGCGGCTCGGCGGGCCGCATAGCCCTGATTGGTCAGTCAGGAAGAATAGTGGGCCTGGCCCGGACACACGGGTCATCTGCCTTAGCACGTGACCTTAGTGTGCACGGGCCATCCACCCTGTGGACAGCCCACTCCCCCAAAACCACCAAGCACCCTGTAACCCTACTGAATAGAACAGAGATAAATGAACATACCACCAATCTCCCAACCACCCTTTCGCAACGGTTACTATAGTGACTATTATGAATGACCTTGTCATTCCAACAGCAGAATACAAGTAAAATGAAAAACGAAAAAAAGGGAACACAAAAGAAACCCCTCAAAGCATCACATTGTGACTCCATTGAACTGCAGCCTACCCACTCGGCGCGTACATGTACATGGCATGCACCGCTGCTGCATCCCCACCGAAATACACGTTGCCGGTGGGGTTGCCGAGCGTCTGGGCCGGAGCCACTATGCCATTATGGACCATGGTGGTTGCGCAGAGCTAGGATAGCAGTATTACCATATTCTATTATTAATTTTCTTTCTTTTTTGAGGATGATGCCAAAGCCTTTTCTGCCTTTTGCAGCACGTCAGAAACAAAGTCCAGCTCTGCTCCCGAGCCGGCCGCCCCCAGACTTTGCCTCCTTGGCCCTCGCTTTGTTCCGCTCTCGTGGAAATCCCAGAATCTGACCAAATCTGCCAAATCTACTTGGTTGTAGCTGTTCAAGATAATCTTCTGGCTGTTCATGTTCAAGACAGTCTTCCGTTTCCCTCACAAACAGCCGCACTTCTTCAACCACCTCAACACCAAAGGGTAGTTGAACTTCGTAGAGAACGCTCTTGCTGCTTTCCCGCTAGATAGGACGCGGCGGTAAGAGGATGACATCCCCACGAATGCCGCGCGAAGATTCCCGGTAACAATCGGGGACTTTTGGTTTCTCGTCGTCGATCGCAAACTCCAGTTCTTGGGCAAATGTGTCGATCGTGCGGACATGGAACCTGGTGCGCGTGGAAGGTACCGGGTACTTCTCTTGGTCCATGGTGGCGCGTATGAGACCGTTGTGAATCTGCGACTGAATTTGTGCACGTTTTGGCTATTCGTTTGCGACACACATTTGGGCAACAGCGTTGACAATGCAGTCGATGAGCGTTCCGGATGTGATTTCGCCCCGGTGTCGGTCGGCGTAAGATCTGTAGGAAAGATTGCCAAAGTATGCATTCGTGGAGTGTGATTTCCTGAGAAAATCGGTGTATTTCGTAATGGCATCAATTACTGGGCTTTGGCTGTTGTGTCTTTGGGCGAGACTGGGCTCGCGTTTCTCGCGAGCACGCAGGACCGCGGCGAATATAAACCCCGTGATGCAGTCCGCCTTTTCAACCGGCTTGTTCCTCGATCGTCGACAGTTGACGGCTTGTTGTAGTCTGCCAACAAAATCCTCCGAGAAGCAAAGAATTCGACTTTCTTCCGAAGTTCGTGCTTGCCAGGGCAACTTGCTGATGACTCTCGGCTTGGGATCCTTAAAGCTTATCAGGTTCCCCATCAATGCCAGTGGATCACGATACTTGGCCGCGAATAGAACAGGTAGTGGCAATTAGCAGGGCCAAGACGTCGAAGACGTCAAGGGAAACGACTGGTCGCCTAGAGGTAGGTGGGCATACCTTCTCGAATTAGTCTCGTTGCTTGAGCAAACGCCTTCCAAATGAAGGAGATAGAGCGCCCGTCGGCGACAGGGCCTTGGACTGACAATCCCAGTACCAAGCCACCAGAAACGAGAGATGCCTGCAATGTGAAAACTGGAAGGAACCCCTTCTTGTCGTGCTATGGCGTCAAAAAGAAATCCAAGTCCAGAGTCGCAAGGACATCTTGGTCAACGAAGTGGTTGTAAAAGTACTTGGACATCAATCAGATCGGCCACCCGGTAGACATCCTCGTGGGTGTGGTCCGGGGGTTGTGTAGAGCGGATGCCTCGAATCCGGGTTGACGGGCCGATGCGGCACATCAGGAACGGGAAGCGCTCCAAGACAGCCTCCAAGCCCACAGACAGACGCAGCAGGGAGGGAGACTCGCATGTCAAGAAGCAGGCTCGCCGCACGTAGCCGGTGTGCGAGCTTTGACCGAGGGCGGAGAGTTGGTGGGTGTCGGCGGGCCAGCCGGTGCGCGCGACGTGATCATGGACGGAGAGTTGGTGGTAAACCAGCCAGTCGCTCATTGTTGCTGGGGGTTATGCAACTGTCGTCATAGAATGACATGAACGAGATATTGCCTTCCTGGCAAAAGGGGAAGTAATGTACCTAAGGGAACGAACGGGTTAACGGTAGGTGAAATTTATTGCGGAGGAGATATGACGGGATCTCTTATTCGGGGAGGATAATGGTCATTGGCATGGCGCTCTGTTTTCAGACTTGTCAGCCCAGCTGCTTTGCGTCGAGTGGCTGACCTTCAGAGGTCACAGGCGGTGTAACGAACGAGTATATGGGGGCTGATTTAAAGGGATGTTTGAGGATCGAAATATTATGTGGTCGGCTGGCCAGCAAAGCCCGGAACCATCACGTCTTATTCCCCCAAAGCGAAGACGCTTGAAACATCGGATCACCCGTGGACATGATCAGTTCAATTCGCCCGCTGACCTGACCAGCAGCTACACAAACAGACCCACCTGCGTTTCGTAGACAAGGCATGTGCATATAGTTCGACATATATTTGGTACCTATAACGTTAGAACTCCTACCTACCAAATTCAACCCTAACCGACCTTAAACCAATTCCCGTGCCTTTCTCTTGGTACCTACTTTCGTGTCTTCCAAAATACTTCAATCCTGTGTCAACAGGCTGTGCGGCAGCTGGTAGTTCTTCCTCCCATGGAACAAATAGGCCGGCACAAAGGCGAGCACGACGGTAGCCGTGGCGGGGGCGGCGTAGTTTATGCTCTCTCCGGTGACGGGCTGGGTTAGGTGGAAGCAGAGGAAGATGCTGGTGAAGCAGATCTAGAGGATGGAGACGACATGGAGGGTGCTACTGCCGCCGAGGCGCGCGGCGCCGCGGCAGGGCGGAGCGGCGGCCGCGGTGGACTAACAGGGCTAGGGACGCGGCGTAGGATGCGATGAACAGCACGTTGGCGGCGCCCAGGATGGTGTTGAGCACCCAGTCGGACCCGAGCACGATCAGGCGAGGCATGGCGTCGCCCAGTACGCCTCGCCCAAGGACATCGTCGTGACGCTATGGCGACGGCGGGATGCAGCGGGAGCGGTCGATCTGACGTGGCAGGGCGTTATGGAGGACATTGGAATCGACATACTCCTGATGTAATTCTTTGGTAAATGGGGAGGAACATGACAGCGATCGATGCAAAAAATGAAATCGACCCACCCAGGTCTCGAACCTGGAACCTCCTGATGCTTTGGAATCGTAGTCAGACGCTCTACTATTGAGCCAGCAGGCCGGACAGGAAGCGGAGACGCTCCGCTCTTGCGTAATAGAGTCAAGCAGAGTTTGTGTCTATGTGGCACGCAACAGAGTGGAGCTGGAATTAAACCATCTTGTTGTTTGTTTACATACATCCAACTTTGATTACCCCTTAATCGTGCAATACGGCCTGGCTCTGGATCTCGATGCGCGCACCCGGCCACATGATTTCCTTGACCACGATGACCGTCACGGCCGGCCTGTTGTCGCCAAAGAACTGCCACATGGCCTCGCCGAAGGCGGCGCCTATCTCGGCATGAGCGCCGAGGAGGCGGCCGAGGTCGCGCTGCAGATGCAGGGGTTTGGTGCCGAGGAGGAGCAGGAGAAGGGATCGTTTGCGGATGTGGTTCTGTTGCCTGTTTCTGTGGCTGTTTTAGGGAGGGGGGGCGGGGGCGGCCAGGCGGGCCGGCCTAGGCCTCGGTGCTATTCGATATTCTTTTGCAAATTTGAGAACCAAGGTACTCGTCACTTTCAGCTCCATGGAACGCGTAATAGACAAGTAGGATGAATAATGGAAGTTTTGTCTACGGCGGTAGTGTGAGAATTCGTAAAAGATTGTGGGTGTAAAAGGCCGTGTAAAAAAGCATGTAGACTCAATTCTCCAACCTTTCCAAATCCTTGCTTATCCCAACCCCTTTTCGTGCCGTAGTGCGGTCTCATCGCGGCAATCATTGGCATTGTCCAAGATGCAACCAAAACTCTCAAATGTTGACCCAGTACCTAGATTTATATATCTCACACATATAGCCGGTTCTTCCACTACTTCAGGGCCTAGCTTCGTGTGAAACTTGTGGTGTTTTTGCCGACCCTCGGGGTTTGGCTATGACCACTTTCGTTGTGCTACCGGGTTCCCTGCGTTTGACTAGTTTGCTGACTTTCTTTGAGGGCACGATCACCACGCTATTGGGTGGTTTTGCCGAGGGCCGAGCAGACACCTGAGATGGGAGCCTGGGTAGCTTGGTGAGCTTCTTCCGGGGCGGACGAGTGGCGGTACTTGGGGCACGGAAAGGCTGGGCCGGGCCACGGCCGGCACTACTAGTCGGTGCTGAAAGGAGCAGTCTACCTGAAGGATGAGGTATGGCACTTGGGGGATGGAAAGGCCCAGTCGAGCTGCGGCCGGCGCTACTAAGCGGTGTCGATGGGAGCGACTTGCTGGGCGGGCGGAAAATGGTGCTTAACTGTTTTCGACTTCGGGTAAAGTTCCTACCAACGGAGCTGTCGGGCGTTGGTGGGAGGGACTTGCTGCCCGGACGAGCGGCGATGCTTGGACCATTGAAACCACGAGTCCCGTCGCTGCGAGCAAAAGTAAACGGTGTTGGTGGAGGAGGATATTGGGTAATCGGCTGGGCTGATGATCTCGCCGACTTGTTAGCAACATGAGGAGTGTGAACAGGTTGTCGATGAAATTCAGCAGCTCCATTGACCATGGAACTGTCTGCGGTGTTGAAGTTTTCAGGATTGGCCAATGATTTTTCTAGCCGAGTAGCTAGGCCACCCCGCACATGCGTCACCCTTGGGTGAAGAAGTTCAGCTTTCTCGATCCTTGTTCCCGATATCTGTTGCTCCCGGCTCGATTCTGGAAAGGGTGTCTGCGAAACCTGCGAGGAGCTAGTATTTTGAGTGGAACAGCGAAAGTTGTCTGGGTAGATGGTCCCCCAGTTGTCAATATTTTTCTTGTCCTGCGCAAGAGCTAGGAACCACTTAATTCCGTCAATCTCCTGTTGCGGAAGGCACAGCTGAACTTCATGAATATAAGTCGCGGTACCACCTCCACCAAAGCGGGTAGGCAAGAAAACAACATCCCCACGCTCGCCATGGTGCGAATACCTGCAGTACCTTGGTCTCTCAGGTAATGGACCCTTGTGCATTCCAAAGTCAAGGTTCAGCTCGTGACCCTGGACTGATCGAACGTGAAATCTGGTGTCGGGAGACTCTTCTATGTTTGCTGAGCCTTGGTAGCGCTTTCTGAAATTCCTCTTAGTATACTTAGAACTAGCAATGTTGGCTTCGCACACCACATTGAAGGCTTGCATGACACGGTTCAGGATGGAGCCAGTTGTCAGGTTGATTAATGGTTTTGATACGCGGTGCGAAAAACGAAAGTTGCCAAAGTACTCGCCCGGGGACGTCGTTAATAAGTCTCGAATATCGTAATGCCTTGTAAAGTGTGCCATCGATGACACTGTCCCACCACCTTGTGCGCGGGCATCTAGGGCGGCTGCGTATATGAAGGCGGTGATGCAGTCGATGTTACGGATCTGTTTAACAGATGATTTCTCCACCTTCCAACGTCGCCGATCTGACCTCGACGAATGCGATAGGATATAGCGAATTGTGTGAGACAGGTAGGACACAAAGCTACTTGTGAGCTTTATAATATGGTAAGGATGGGGTTGGTTTGTTGGAAAACGCGACTTAGTAATGGCGTTGGTCCGAAATGTTCCCTCCGGTGTCAGTGGCGCCAAATCATGCAAAAGTCTCCAAATCCGATACGTGTCATGGTATAGTTCTGCAGCCAAGAAGTTAGCACGTGCAAGCCTGAAGTTGTTAGGAAGTGTCAAGAGTAATTAATGGGCATATTAGCATTGGCTCCCAAGCATAGGAATAGGGAGGTCGCGGGGGTTACCTTAGAGGTGCTTCAAATTTGTTTAATGAGTGGAACTGAGAAAAGGGGGCATGTACCTTGTGGGATGCCCCTGCTTCCTTCAGCAATGGCCTTCCAAATCAAGTAGACAGAAGCTTCGTCGGAAACAGAGCCATGGACGGCTATACATAGTATTATACCGCGGCGATGGTAGTTTGCCTGCATTGTAAATATGGAATGCCGGCTGTTTATATCCGAAGGTGGCGTACAGAACAAGCTGTCAGGTGCTATAAAGCGGTCGGCCATAGAGAGTTCGTAGTCTGATGCCAAATATCGCTCTTGGTATATGTTTGCTACTGTCAAGTTGGTGGGACTGTGCAAGTCAAGCACGCTTGGGTTATTTTGCGAGGGCCCTATGACGCAGCTTAAAAACGGAAACCGACAAAGGACAGCATCAAAAGCTGTCCTACCGTTGTAGGAGTCCGTGCTGCAGACGAAGAAGCAGGCACTCTGGAGATAGCAGGGTCGTGCTTTCTGGTCAAAAAAGTAAAGGAGGGCGTGCCTCGCTGTGCGGGAATCCATGGTCGATGGAGCCTACAAGTGTCAAAAGGAGGATGAGTTTTTTGTTGTGAGTGAAAACACAAAGAGCAGAGGGGCCAGATCGAATTCGTGTTGAATGGCTGCCACCGAAAAGAGTGCTGGTGTCTGGATCGCGATTAACTCGAAGGACCAGAGGAGTATCGTTGGCAATCGGATTTATCTGAGAAAGGCGAGTCAACGTGTAAAACCCCAGGTCTAAAGATATAAATACGCCTAGAGGCCCTGGGCCGACCCGCGTGGTGGGAACCATCGTGACGGGCGCCACATGTCGATGATTTGCGTCGAAGAAAGCAGATGTGCAGCCCCTCGCGTTTCACAGGCAAGCCATGTGTACGGTCTGGTCTTCACAAGAGCTGCTGTAGGCGGAGTGGAATTTCGAGTTTGGGACTGAATGTTCAAAGAGCAGCTACGACCGTTGCTCTTTCTCTGTCAAGCAAGAGGAGGGGACAAAACACAGAAAACGAAAGTGATGTTGTGGAACAGACCCCGCTTGATTCTTTACGTAAATCGGCCCTCAGAATATGACGCCCATTTTCACTTCTTCCTTTGACTCCAGCCATTACATTCGCAGCCAACAACCCAAGCACGCTACCCCAGCCATCTGCCCGTGATCGGATCAGAACCCAGCCCCACACCTGCCCCTCCAGCCACCAACTGCTGTCACATACAACGGTATGCAAAATGAGGGCAAAAGAGTGCTTGTATTGGGAAGAAGAAAGAAAGGTGGGCATAGCCTTGATACCGTAGCTATGAGCGGCATGCAGCTTACATAGCCTAGGACGTAGGTGGTCTAGGTCTAGCATATACGCCACCTGCGCCCACCTGTGGCTCAATGCGGCTTCTTCCGACAACTGCTGCGCTGTTGCGACACGTCTCGTCTTCAACCACATGTTCAGAATAATCTTCCCACTTTCCCGCCACACCCACCGCGCACAACGACCGCTCATCCACGCCATTCAGTCCACCCGGCCGCACCACACCAGCCCCACCAATCTAAAACGCAGCCAGCGGCAGCGCAATCAAAGCCACGTACATCCAGTAGCGGACGACCTCGGGCCACCCGAGGATCTCCCAGCGGAGGAGGCCGGTGCTGTCCGTCTCGAGCATATCCGTGATCCAGAAGTGGGAGAAGCCGACGGCGGACAGCCCAGTCATGGTGACGAAGACGGAGACGACAAACAGCACAGCGCCGAGCCAGGTCGTGGGTGTGGTGGTCGCGGGCTGCTGCTGCTTCTTGCGACGCTCGACGACAAGAGGCGGGACGACGCGCAGCGCGGTCAGGACGGCGCCGACGCTGACCATGAGGATCAGCATGTTGCGTGAGCTCGCGGTCAGCCACCACCCCTCCATGGCCCACAGCCCCGCGAGCAGCATGCCCACGCACGGCGCGCCGGTCCCGATGATCAGCGCGTACTTCCAGTTCGGGGTGGGTGTGGGGGTCTCTGTGCGGGTGGCGGCCGCTTGATCGTCGGGCCGCAGTGCGACCGTGGACAGGGCGTCGAGGCTACGGCGCTGGTCTTCGAGCTCAAACATCTCCTTGGCGCTCACGGCAGCAGCAGCAGCAGTAGCAGTGGACGGGGGTTGGGATTTGGGGGTGTTGGGGGGGTTGCCGTTGCCGAGCTGGCCCACGCAGCCAAAGACTAGGTGCATGACGTCGGCGGGGAGGGCCCACAGGAGGCGCACGCCCAGCAGGCCGGAGCTGACGACGACCAGGGCCGGGTTGTAGTGGCATCTATACATGTTGGCGAAGGTTAGGGCCAGGATGCCGAAGCCCCAGAGGCAGGTGGCGACGG